CTAGATGTTGTTTAGTCATTTTTTAAAGGTATTTGGAGTGGTTTGGGGGAGAGCTCAGTTCAGTCCTTGCCTTTAATCCCCCATCTTGGCTTTGCCTCCAACAATTTCCATTTTTGAATAATGATCCTTCCCAGCCTGTATTCTCTACAAATTTTGTAAATATACCATTAATATGTCAACATGCCATTGATCAAATGTAGCATCATGGAAGGATGACTAGTTATGTATTTGAAGGAGATGGGTTTAAAGAAAGCTCTGTTAACCTTCTGACCTTGGAGAAATTAATTAACTTATATGAGTTTCAATGTGCCATCTATAAAATAAGGAACTTGAATGAGATCTCTAAGACCTGATCCATCTCTAAGTGTTATTAGTTTGTGTTACATAGGAAAGGACAAGTACAGAACCCTGGAGAACTAATTAGAGACCCTCTTCTAAATTGAAAATGATCTCATTGAGTCCTATTTTAGATTGCATATCAATCTACATTTCACCATTTTACCCATAAGGATATGAAATATCTGATCTGAAATCTAGATTAGTTGTTGTCCTTTGTTCTTGAAGAGGACAAAAGAAGAGGACATCACTATGATTGAGTCAAGTTATACTGTGTCCAACTCTGGCTGAGCAAACCAATAGAAGCTTGGAATGCTCTACCATAGATCAGGCACAAATAGTCCATGTGACCATTTGGGGTGGATTCTCTAAATTTTCACAACTCGTGTTTCTCTTGAGCTACTTCAATTCTGCTTTGCTCATGTAGCACAGCACCTTATCTAATGAGGGCATGCCATACTGGGCAGTCGTATGCCAGTGTCTCCTATGTCACACAATCAATTCCAACATTCTTTTTTTATTTTAGGCAATTGTGGTTAAATGACTTGCCAGGGCCACATAGCTAGTAAGTGTCAAGTGTTTGGTCTGAGGCCAGATTTGAACTCAGGTTGTCCTGACTTCAGGGCTGGTGCTCTATCCACTGTGCCACCTAGCTGCCCCCAATTCTAAAATTCTTAAAGGAGATCTTGAGAGTGTCCTTGTATCACTTTTTCTAACCACCATATGAGTGCTTGCCCTGTGTGAGTTCTCCATAAAATAGTCTTTTTGGCAAGCATACATCTAGCATTCAAACACTGTGGTCAACTCATCAGTTTCACTCTCTGCAGTAAAGTCTGAATGCTTGGCAGTTTAGTTTGAGAGAAGACCTCAGTGTCTAGTATCTTTTCCTGCAAGGTGATCTTAAGAACCTTCCTAAGAGAATTCAAATGGAAGTGATTCAGTCCCCTGGCATTATGCTAGTACGCTGTCCAGGTTTCACAGACATACAACAATGAGGTCAGCACAATGGCTCTGTAGACCTTCAGTTTGATAGTCAGTCTAATACCTCTTCTTTCCCATACTTTCCTTTGGAGCCTCCCAAACACTGAGCTAGTTCTGGCAATGCATGCATCAACCTCATTGTCAATATGTTAACCCTGAAAAGTACACTGCCAAAGAAGTGAACTTATCCACAGCATTCAAACTATCTCCACTTTTTGTAACCAGTGGTTCCATGTATGGATGGTGTGGTGCTAGCTGATGGAGCACCTATGTTTTCTTGGTGTTAATTGTTAAGCCAAAATTAGCACAAGCAGCAGAGAATCAATCCATACTTTCTTGCATCTAAGCTTCATAGGCTACATTGAGTCCACAATCATTTGCAAACAGAAAATCATACATGAACACTCCCTCCATTTTGGTCTTGGATTGTAGCCTTTTCAAGGTGAAATATTTACCATTGATGGAGTGGCTAACTTTATGCCTTGTTCATCTTCATTAGAGGCATTTGACAACATGGCTGAGAGAATCATGGAAAAGCATTGGAGCAAGCACATAGCCTTCTTTCACTCCACTGGTGACTAAGAAAGCACAAAAGCATTGTTCATTATTCAAATCTGGGCAAGCATGCCATTGTGAAATTGATATACAGTGCTGAACTTATCCGGGTAACAAAATTCTGACATAATTTTTTCTATGCCCTCATGACTGACAGTTTCAAAGGCCTTGGTCAGATCAATAAATGTTGTATATAGGCCTCTGTTTTGCTCCTGGCATTGATTCTGGAGTTGTTGGACAGCAAACTCCAGATTGATCATTCCTTGGTTATTTCTGAAGCCACACTGTCTGTCAGGTAGGTGACCATCTTCTAGGTGAGGATCAGCCTATTAAGGAGGACTCTGGCAAGAATCTTGCCAGCAATGACTAAGAGAGAGATCTCCTTGTGATTGTCACAGGACAAACTATTTCCTTTACCTTTATATAGATGGACAATGAAGGCATCTTTGACCTCCTGGGTGATAACCTCCTCTTGCCATATAACCCGGAAAATTTCAGTCAGTTTTTGTATGAACACTAGATTCCCTACTTTACAAATCTCAGTTGGAATAGAATCAGCAACATGTGCTTTGCCACATGAAAGTAGCCTAATGGCATTCAAAACCTCTCCTTCAGTTGGAACTTCAGCTAGTAGGAGTTTGACTTTAACCTGAAGTAAATGGTCAATAGCTTCAGCACTGATTGATGATGGTCTGCTGAGAACACTGTGAAAGTGTTCAGCCCATCTCTCTATCACATCCTTATCACTAATCAATGTGGATCCAATAACACTGAGTAGTTCAGATGCTCTACAGGTTGTTGGCCCATAAATATCCTTCAGAGCATCATAGAAGTGTTTTGGATTGTTATTATCAGCATAAAACTGAATTTAATCTGCTTTTTTACTGAGCCAAGAATCCTGCATCACTCTAAGCTTCACTTGTACTTTACTTTCGATGGAATTAAATGCTGCTTTCTTAGAGATGGATGAACTATTCTGCTGGTAAACCTTCTGGAGTTCTCCTTTTTTGTTTAACAGCTTCTGAATTTTCTCATCATTTTTGTCAAACCAGTCTTGATGTTTGCGAGTGTTCTGACCCAGATGAGTAAATGTAGTTCTGTACACCAAATCTCTGAAAACTGCCCGCTTCTTTTCCACTCCACTGTTTTCAACTATGTATTAGCTCGACTTTCCTTCCAAGTTAGCAACAAACTGTTCTTGCTCAAAAATTCTAATCTGTTGGCATTAATTCTTCTGGTAGTCATTTTGCCTTGGGATCACTGCTGTTATTAAATGTGAATATTTAGCTTGGAGAGGACAAGTCTATGATCAGTCTAGCACTCTGTTCCACACATTGCCTTCATTACTCTCACATCCTGTCTGTGTCTTCTCTTTACAATCTCATAGTCTGTTAAAAGTTTGCTCTGAGGGTGCATCCATGAAGTTTCATTGCATTTAGGTAAGTGGAAGACAGTGTTGGGGTTGAGAAGGTTATGAGATGCACAATCTTTAGTAGTAAGTGAACATTCCATTCCTCCCTAGCACTCCCTGCCAAATTTGCTTGTCTGAGTCTACTCTAATATTAAAGTCACCCAGAGTTATTAGCTTGTCTCTTTTGGCACATTGATGACAAAGATCCCTAGGTATTCATAAAATTTTTCTTTGACCTCATCAGGGTTTGTCATGGTTGGAGTATACGCACTGATGATGGTGGCATGATGTTTTCTTGTAAGTGGCAATTGTATTTTCGTGAGCCTGTCATTCACTCGTTTTGGTAGGCATACAAGCTTGTTGACTACATTAGTTTTGATTGGCAAAATATACACCAGCTTCATAGCATTCTCCTTCACTGCAACCACTCCAGGAAAAAAACAAACAAACAAACAAACAAACATGCGAGGCTTCATTAGCATGCCCACTATACCAGAACAGACGTGGTTGAGTATGCCTAATGACCACACTTTGAACTCTATTGGACTCCTTTTTCAGAATGTTTATAAATATGTAAAATGACATATATAGGATTCAAAAGGAAATTAGATTTATTGAAGTAGTTATTAAAATATTTTAAAAGAACAGACAAGTTTAGAGAAGTTCATAGAATAAGAACTCCTGTTCTAGAGCCTCCTTGAAATATTTCCCCAGAGACTGACACCGACTGCTACATTTCATGGAGCCTTGAAGAGTAACTTCCCTATTCTTTATTCCCTTCTCCCACCCAGTTAACCTCAGTGATCAGAAGGATTCAAACGATCTCATTGTTCAAAGGAAAGAAAGTGGTGTATTGGTTAGAGTGATGGACTTGGAGTTAGGAACATGAGTCTGAATTTGCCTGCTTCAATCTCTTACTTTTCTGTGTGGTCCTCAACAAATCAGTAATCCTCTGTCTGCCTCAATTTCCTCATTTGTAAAATGAAGACAATTATAGTACCTCATAGGTTGGTTGGGAGGATAACATTAGGTAACATATGTAAGGTGTTTTGCAAACTTTAATGTGCTATATAAATTCTAGCTATTGTTATTTCAGCTAACTCATGAGCTATAATACCTTTTATAGGCTAAGCTATGAAGCTAATTATCATTTATCATAATGTTTTTACAGGAAAAAAATAATGATGAGTTCCAAAGAACAGACTTTTAAATGGACTTTTACACAGAGCCCATGTGTTAAGTCAAGGTCACCTAGAAATAGTTTATAGAAACATGCCCTAATTGCTCCTTTGATTATCTCTGCTTCAATGGGTAGGATTGCTTAAGGATTTCTACTTAAAGGTCAACTTTGAGTTAGTCAGAGGGAATAGTGAGGACAATGCAGATTGCCACAGAATTAGTTTGATTGTGTTCATTATTAATTATACATTTTGGCAAAATTACTAGGTTAGCTATATCAGAATCCAGTTTATCCATGAACATATTTAGCCTTAGAGCTTAGTGTTTTTGTCAGCTTCTCAAACATGCCAATTTCAGACAAATGTATTTCCCCTCTGAGTTCTTAAAGACATATCTCTTTAAAAAATAAAAGTAACAATTACTTCTCTGAATTTGCTATCAAACCTTCTCAGCAAGTGTCATTTGTTTGAATTCTCTAGTAGTTTGGCATTACATGTATCCCATGCTGGTTTTTTTTTTTTGTATTGTATTTTTTCAGCTGGAGAGACTGCAGGCTGAGAGCGCCTCTGAGTGGGGCAAGAGGGAGATACTTGAAACAGAAAAACAAGGACTGGAAAGAGACAATAGAAGGTTAAAGGCCCAGGTGAAAGAAATGGAAGAACTTTTGGATAAAAAAAATCCATTAGCTGTAACCTCTCAAGGTCCTGATTTGAAGATGTCACAAAGTGAGCTGCTAGAGAAAAACAAGGTATGGATTCTACTTTGAAGTACACTTCTTTACTTGCATATATCCAGTTTTTAATGCCTAGTTATCTTCAAGTTTGACCTAAGTCTCCATGTTTGACTTGTCTCTTTTCTGCCATTTAAGATGAAAGCAGAAAAGTATCATGCCAGGTTTTTGATTCTCTAACTTGAAAAATCACTTTTTGGTTCATGAATTTGAAAACTTAGAACATCAGTGATTTTGTATTGAAGTTTTAGATTATGTCAAAGCCTCTCAAGAACTTCAAGAAATCTGTGGTTTCAAAGATTTCACCCTAATGACAAGAAATCTTAGAAAAATGTATTTAGTCTTTATGACTTACTTGGCCTGTTGTGTTTCATTCTCTGTGCATTTTCCAAGCAATTGACCTTATTCACACCAAGTGTCTTGTCCCATCAATTCCAGTAATTACTCAGTAAGCAATTACTCAGCAGCAATCTTAGTAAACACTTGATAGATTTAGCCTGTTGTTTGCTTATCTCTGGTTCATATGTAATCAAGATCAGATAAGATGATTTTACAAAGAATTCTAAATATCAATTTTAAAACAAATTCCAGAGAGCATTATAGACATATGCACGTGCAGTGATATATATTCAACATGGAATTCAAAATATTCACTAAAAAACCCGTATTGTCTAAAATTATTTTTTCTTTATAATTCTGTAAAGATCTTCAGAATTATTGGAGGGAACATATTTTGCATATAGTTTTAGAATTTTTAAGTCATAGTTTATATTATCACTTTTATTTGTAATGTAACAAATTTTAATGTAATTTATATGTAATTAGTATATCAGTAACACTATTTTATTTCCCTTTTATTGGAAACCATCAATTGATCACCAAGAAGTTATTAATTGCCTACTATATGTCAGGCCCTATATTAGGCACTAAAAATGCAGATATAGAAAAGGAAACAGTTCCTTACCTTAAGGAGCTTACATTCTTTCAGGTCAAATGACAAGCACACAAATAAGTGGATACAAAATATAGCCAAAGTAAATATAATCTAATTTGGGGGGGGGGTGGCAGGTAAGGAAAGAGTGCAGCTTAAGGGAGGGCAGATAAGGAAATGGCTCATGTAGGAGATGACACTTTATATGGCTTTGAGGGAAGTTAGCATGCCATATTTTCCTCCTTTAAAAGCTCGTAAAGATTTTAAGGCACGATATCACATTGATTTTACTCACTGTCTTTGATAACCTGGCAGGTTCCTGAATTTTCTACATTCAAAGTTTAGACTTTTAGCAATGAAAAAAATGTTATATTTTGAAAAAATAACTAAATTCTAAAATTTTAATGGCCAGAAGTGAAAATTTATACATTGTTAGTATGTTATAATCTTTTTTTTCCCTTTCTACTTTTGTCTTTTCTCTCAAATGGCTTCCACACTGAAGCAGTGCAATATCACCTTGCAATATCACACTGGTTGTTCTTGATTTAGGCATTTAATCTTTAAACTAAATCATTGTTTTTCAGTGATTGCAGTTTTCATCCTACAGCAGGGTATTCACAACACTTGTATAATTCATATTCATTGAAATCACTAACATAATCATAAAGTTATTTGGTTCTAACATGCACATCATTTCTGTATTTTAGGGTTATATATTGTTCAGAATTTATCTAAAAGTGTCACAAATGTCCTTGATCTTTCTATTAAATATTAAATGAACAGCAAAAATCTGTCTTCAAATTATTTGGACACTTTCCTAGGGCACACCAAAATGAAATGACATATGACAACAGAGTTATGACTGAAAATCAAGGGGAATGGTGTTTGGCATGCCTGAAATTTGCCAGATCCTATCCATAGACAACTTCCAGGCTAATTTTACTCCTATTTGGCCATTGGAATTCTCATCTGTACATCTCTGTCTGGATATTTGAATCTAAAACATCTGCATCAAGCTTATGCCAATCACAATGACTGAGATAATTTTGAGGATTCTAAATTATTTTGAGTACCACCCTGACATTATTAGTCTTTTCAAAAGACTTCAACAGTGTCTTTCCTAAATCATGAAAAGTCCATAACCTCAAGAAATCATTCTCTACAAGGAGGATACAGTAATTTACTTATAAATCCTCTCTCTTGAAGTCCTCATTCCTCCTAAGAGTAGGTTTTATACTGGTGAGTCACAGTATCTTCTGGGTCTTTGTATGCTCCAATAGAGTTCAAAGTTTGATCATTAGGCATACTCAACCATGTGTGTTCTGGGATACTGAGCATGCTAATAAGGCCTCACATGTGTTTTTTTTTTTTCTGTTTTATATGAGAACAAGAAGTAGTTCCCTATTTCTAGATCTCTAGATGAATAAAAAAATTAGCCTATTAAAATCTCACATTTTCCTACAGCAAATATTGTTATTACTTCTAAAAATAGTTCCTTATTCAACACAAATTACCTATAGAAATGTGTATATCCTGATACATTGTCAATGGGAATTGAGAATGAGTTTATATTTTTGAAAAATCTCAGTGAAAAACACTTTCAACAAAGTATACTCAAAAATGAAAACTTTGAAAATGAGCTTCCAATATGGGACATGAAATATTGAGAATTAATAGTCTATCCAAGACTTTCAAGCAAATTTCCATTTCTTTTCTCCTTTCCCTGGACTAGATGCTAGATTAAAATAGTTTTTTTTTTCTCAGAACAAAATTAAAAATGCGCTAGTGATTCAAAAGATAAAGGTTAAGATAAAGGTTCTTTCAGGTGAACTGATTCAAATCAACTTCATGCTCTCAATCTCTTTGCAGACATGTTGCTTATACATCTATTTTTATGCATCATTGCAATGTATGTATTTTACAAAAACTGGATCTGACTTTTTAATGGGTAAATCGTATTTTAAACATTAATAAATAGATTAGTTCTTCATTTGCTAAGCCTTTAGTGGTTATTACCAAAAGGTTAATTCTATTGATGTTTGTGCTGCTGTGTCTTCTGGTGGGGATGACATTGTTCCATGGCTTCAGCTAAACTGATGAATCAACTGAGATCAGATGATGGATTTTCTGTGGTACTATCAATTGTTCCTCATGGAATAATGTTTGAATTTTAAAATAATAATAACATTTGAAAAATAACCTGCTAATATAAATATAAATGGAGCCCACTGGTTAATTTTAAGAATAAAAATAGTGAAACAAACTTAGAAAATGTGCGTATGTAGGCGATACCATATTATAGTTCCTTTTTTTCCCTCCCCTTTGACATAAATAGCTTGAGCTGGTTAATGATTGATTATTTCCTTCTTGTGCCTCCAAAGCTAGCATGAACAATAATTATGAAAATAAAGTTGAGATAAATAACCTAATATAAGCTTTTTGGTGCAACTTAAATACTTGTACAGAATACTATAAATTTGATGGAAGTTCTATTAAAACATCTGACTTATTTTCTTATCTTTGTTACATGAGAAAAATGAAACAAAGGACCATGAGTAAGCTTAGTGCAGTAATCTGCAGAGTATCTACACAATTCTATTTGAAAAGTGATTAAAAAAAAAGCACCTTTGGTCTTTTGGTATATTTATGTATATGACATGTATTATCTATTTTTTTTTATTGGTTTGACCCTCTCCTAAATAAATTGTTGAAATGTTATGCTCATGGCTTAAATGGTTACATTCTCTACCTAGTATTCTTACTTTGCTTTCATGTTTCTAATTCTAGACATTTCTTATTACATGAATATGATTTCTGCATTATTCCATTTGGCAAATTCAATAAACATTTATTGAGTATCTTCAATGTGTCGGAAATTGTCAGGTAAAGAGACACAGAGACAAAAGAAAATAGTTCCTGCCTCTCAGAAGTCTGGTTAAAAGGCTATAGTAGTAAGTGATACAAAATGTATGCAAATTCAGACAGAAAAAGGTAATTTGATAAGGGAGATGAGTCTTTAAGGAAAACAAGAATTCTGCTAGAAGAGGAAAGACTGTTCAAGATGTAGGAAATAGCTACCCTTTGTCATGCTTGTGTGGACAGATAGTTGAGTAATCAAGTCAACAGGCATTTATTAAGCACTCCTATGCTAAGTGCTACGGAAACTAATACAAGGAGAAAGAAAGACAATTTTTACCCTCTAGTAGCTTACATTTTTGTAAAGGAAAGGATAAGACATAAAAAGAGGTGGTGGGAGGGTTCCCACATAGGGTAATGCTAACGAAATCTAGAGATTGAAGGATGGTGGGTCTGGGTCCTTCCACAAAACAGAGGTTCTAGGAATAATTTACTAATGAGAAAAGGGGCAGAGGGAGGAATAGATGAAGATAGATAGATAGAATCAGCATAATTAGGGGCTTACTATATGCCAGGATGTATTTTTTTTCCTATTAGACTACAAGTTCCTTAAAAGCAGAGAATTTAATTTTTTTCAGTTCTATGTACTCCAGGGCATACCACATGGTAGGTTTCTTGTTTTTGTTGTTAGTCATTTTTTCAGTCATGTCTTACTTTTACGATCTCATTTAAGGTTTTCTTAGCAAAGATATTGGAGTGCTTTGCTATCTCCTTCTCCAACTAATTTTACAAATGAGGAAACTGAGGCAAACAGGGTTAAGTGATTTGCCCAGGGTCACACAGTAAGTGTATTAGGTCAGATTTGAACTCAGGAAGATGAGTTTTCCTGACTTCAGGACTGGCACTCTATCCACTTTGCCCCCTAACTGCCCCAAAGGTGTCTTATAAATGGTTATCAAAATGAATGGAATAAAAATGTACCTTTCTTGGGAATATTTGGCTATATTCAATTTAGTATTTGCTTTCTTATGTTTACCTCTAATTGTTTTGTATATGTATGGCTTTTCCCTCCAAGAAGATTATAAGTTTCTTGAAAGTAGGCCCCATGTCATATATTGCTATATCCACATAAAGATCGGTGCTATGCTCTTCAGTCAATGAATACTTGCTGAACAGAATTGAATTGCATTGCTACAGTGTTACACAGAAGAAACCTTACCTAATTCTTTCA